AGTGGCTTGACATTCGGGAACTAGCTACTTAGCTGCATACTCAAGCTACAATTACATTGTCATGCACCAGCCTAACAAGGAAAATACCGTGTTCATGATCGAGAAAGGCACCTACTGTTACAAAGTCATGCCCTTTGATCTCAAGAATGCGGGAGCCACCTACCAATGACGGGTAAACATGATGTTCAAGAAGCAGATTGAAGTAACAATAAAGGTCTATGTCAACGACATAATGATGAAAAATTAAATTGTAGAAGATCATTCTCGGAAAGCCGAAATTGCATCTCCAATGCATTGTATCACGTTCAACAAAGAAAAATTAAATTGAATCAATACCATGTAGAACAATTCAACAAAATAATAAATTAATCATAAAAAGAATGATTAAAACGTAATATTCCCCTGATTGAAGATCAAACTTCTTTAGCACAGCGTCAACAGCGTGCTGATAACGTGTTATAGGCATAATTTACTGAACAATTATGGAGGCCATAGAGAGAGAGGTGCAGCACAAAGAGAAAGAGAGAGATGTGTAATTGTGAGGTGTGTGTTATATCACCCCATTATGCCTTTATTTATAGTAGCAGAGAAGGTTAAATCCTTATTAGGATTACAACTCTAATAGGATATCTAAGCCTAGAGAATATTCCAAGATATCTCTAGATACACTAGGATTTACACAATCACATTCCTAATCTAATAGGACTGCAACATATACAAAAAATATGATAAGTTTATAAAAAATAAATGTAAAACAATTGTGAGAGGTAGATTAAAAAAAAATTAAAAAAAAAAAAAACTTGTGATAGAGGTACGTAAGTTATGTGTTTTTGTCTACCTCTGTGGGTGGAAAAGGGTTTTCATTCTACCTCTATGGGTGTAATTAATTAATTTATTTTTATCTACCTGTTTTGGTGGAATGATTTATGTATCTCCAATTCTTCTTGTGTATAATTCATGGTACACCCAATCCCTCCTCGTATGGCCAGAGTTTGTATACACCCATTTGATTCAAAGCTTGTCTTAGTTTCTGTGCTTGTACCTTGGTGTTTGGGGATCTTTAAATATGATGCCATCTTAATTTGTTTAATATTCTCCCTTGTGTCCCAAAAAAATGAAACAAAATTTTGTTTACTTGAATTGGTGGAAGGCGCAAATTAAAGTGGAGCAGCAGTTTGGTGACTATGAGTGCTGGGGATGGAGGGTTTATTCCTTTGGTGGGGCATTTAGGATTTGATTTTCCAGATACATTCAATTTTATGTATACCTACTCTTTAGGAAGACAAATACTTTATACCTATAAAGCAGATTTATTCTACTTAATACATACCAAAAAACTGAAGAAGAAATTAATCGTGAGAGCCTGCAATTATATATGCATAAACAAGAATCATAAGATTTTGCGATTCGTGGAAGAAAGAAGAAGTGATTTTGTAGAGGAGGAACAAAAAGACGGAATAGAGGAAGTAGAAGACCACGTACAAGAGACTGGCTGTACAGGAGTAATTATTTGGAAGAATAGATAGTATTGTTTAAAACTAATCCTACAATTAAGATGATGTGGACAATGAATCACTGGATCTAACCTAATAATTAAGTAAAACTGGACTATATCTAATAATTGCTTACAAAAATTGGACCTATATCAAGTTTCCCCTTCTAACAATTATACACATTATTATTATTATTATTATTTTTGATGCAAGCTATAATGGGGACGGGAGAGTCGACTTCATAACCTCGGGTGCAGGGGGCAACAGTCTACCCCTCATTTGGTAACAATGTGAAAACATGTTTTTTGTTATAGGTGTGTTTGGGCCCAAAATATTAATTTGGGCCGAGGGTAGGATCACTCTCGGCCCGGGAGGCCGATCGGCTAGTGGGCTTCCCAGCCTAGGGCGGTTAGGTCAGAACGCCAGCCGAGTCCTAATACAATGAGGAGTCTCGACGGGATCAGTAATCCAGAAGGCAAATCCGGCTCAGTTAAGGACTAGATTCATAGTCCTAATAAAGATAGGACTGATCGAGATGACGTTGATCCGGGGAGGAAAACCTAGTCCGAATAGGATTCTAACTCAGACTTAAGGTCCAGTGCTATAAATAGGGGAAGCTGTGCACCAGGAGAAGCCCCTGCAAATCAATACAAAATTGCCCTGCGCAAATTCTCACAACTTGTGATTTTTCTTTTTCTTTTTTCGCTGACACATCTTCCGTTGGCATCAACAGCACTGTGGAAGCAACCGGTGATATCTTAAGTCGGCATAGATAGCTCTGTCACCGTAGAATCAATCGGTCTCGCAGTATCTTCCGTTGGCATTAACAGCACTGCGGCGAGAACGGTTGATTACCTATCCAAGTCTCGGTCGAGAAGGGTTTCTGAACTCTTATTGGTCGAGGTCATCTCATTAGCCTTCTCGGCAAAGTGAGGTGTTACAGTTATTACATTCGGCACATTGAAAGCCGAATTTGATATTGAACTTCGTAAGAATAGTAACCTTGTCTTCAGGTTCGAGAGCCCAAGAGGCCGAGATGTGTTCCTTTCTCGGCCGCAATCGCAAGACGCAAAAGTCAGTAGCGTGACCTAACGCAACATCAACAAATTTACTCCTCGGCCGAGCTCGGCCGACGAGTTGGCACGCCCCGCAATCACCGAAGGACGTAGTTAGCTTATAGATTACTCGGCCTGCGCGCCACGTAGGCTTTGTAGTTTCTAGGGTCAACAAGGTGGTGGTATGCCCTTGATAATTCAGCTTTACATGAACAATGAACTAGTATCGATGCTCTTCGGAGTCTCTGTAATTTCAAAACATTCCTTCAATTCGTTATAGACGAACATTATATTCGACCTTTGGTTGACGTCGAAGGCACACATGCCGTGGCAGTTTCTGTAGCTTTTCGAGCGGAAAAGTTGCTGTGCTGACCCTGTATTCTTGAATCCACTATGCTCTCAATTTCCATTCTCTCAAATTTAGAAGCCACCCATTGACATAAGCGCGAAGGTCAGGTGCTACATCTCTTACTATTGTTGATCTACTAGTTATGAGCTCTAGCAAAAATAATCCTAAAACTGGATATATCGCTCTTACGCTCAGCTTTCCAATGTAGTAATATATGCACAAAATAAGAAATAAAACAATCCATACTTAACTCATTCTAGACGTGTAGGCACATTGAGGACTTGTTTGGCGCCTAAGATTGGATCGAATTGCGCATTGGATTCAAGGTATTTTGAAGAAATTTTGTCCAACCACAAGATTAGAAGTTTGATTACTCGTTAAGATGCTTATCCCTTACAATGCCCACAAAATGGTAGGATCAAAAGGGATACGTACCTTTATTTCATGTCTAATCTCTTCTAATCACCTCAAAACCCTTGAATTTTATGAATTAACAATCCGATCCAATGCCCACAACATACTTTAAGGCCTCGTTTAGCAGCTCGGACTACACTGACTATTTCTGTCAGATAGGATAAATAGTCACCGGATAGTACTGACTAAATTAGTCAAGCGTTTGGTGCAGTATCAGACTAATGACCGTATTATTTATACTGTATTTGGTATTATACCAAATAGGAAGAATCAAACTTAAAATAAAACTAAACTTAAAATAAAATTAAAAAAAAAAACTAAAATCATCACTTTTGTTCTCAGATCTCTCCGCCTCAAAGCCCCCCCCCCCCCCCCAAAACTCCCTCCCTCTCTATCCCTTCTTCTTCTTCCCCGTCTGCTCCCCTGAACTAAACCCCATCACAAAGGCAGCAACAAGAAACCCAGCAAAACCCACCTTCCAAATTCTCATCGTTTTTTTTCCCAATCCTTCTTTTTTTTTTTTAGCTACAAATTAGCCCAGCAAAAGTAGAATGGTTATGAAGGATATGACCCAAAAGAGGCAGATGGGTTCTTTAGCAATTGAAAATTTATAAAATCATTTGCAAAAAATTGAGAGAAAAACAACAATCAGATTCAATCTGATTGAAAAAAAAAAGTTGGAAGAGAAATAGGAGTGTAGAACAAAGAGAGAAGAAGAAAAATTGCAAGAAAACAGGGAGGAGGAAGAAGAATCTCAGATTCAGAATTCGAGGAAGAACCTTGGATTCAGAGAGGAGAGCAAGCGATGTGAGAGGAGTAGAGCGAGCGGCGAGAGGAACTCTCTGTAATTTGAAGCACTTTTCTTATCCCATTCGAGTTTCGTTAGTCCATCGCGATTGTCCTTTTACGCCGTTCGAGGTGATCAGAGAAGGAGGATGAGGAGAAGTTGTAGGAGGGCGAAACTGAGGAGGAGGAGGAGTTGCAGGAGGGCGGAACAGATGAGGAGAAGAACCTGGGATTCAGATTAGAGGGCAAGCCATGCGGGATAGAGAGAGCGAGAGAGGCGTGTTTCTACCCGACTAAATAATACCGAGGTTTTGGGCTGTATAACTAAGCGGGTATCAGCCAGATAAAGGAGGGGGGTCAGATTATTTAATCCGGTGGTTATTTAATCCAAACGGACACCAAACACCGTACTCCGTATTATTAGTACTATCCGGTGTGCCAAACAGGGTCTAAGTAGTCTGATCTTACATAATCCCACATCGACATTCGTCCGCACGTCATTAAAACTGTTGTGTTGGATAGCATTCTTAATTTATTTTTGCCTGGAAAAAGATCAAACGAGCTGTGTTCTTACATAATTTGGAATTGATTTGTATCTTCACCATTTCAGCCTTTCACAATATTGCTTAAGTTTCTTCCAGCGACATTCCAAATCTACAAAATAAATAAGAAAACATAATAAACCGTGGAAAAAAGAAAGCATCGGAAACAAATCGAATAGCTCCAAATGTTTTCTCCAATCACAGAATCTACAAAATTCTTGTAGCACTCATGATCTACTACAAAGCTACACTACTAATGCCATGCAAGGGCATATGGCTGGATCTTAATAAGCAATTGCAGTAAATTATACTTGATATTCCAATACAAAACTTCGCAGAAAAACAAGCTCGGAGCAATTTATCAACGCTTAACCCATTGGAAACTCTTACTTGCCTTTGCATTTCCGGGTTTTTTCCTTTCCACCACACGCAAGTCCCTTGTCAAGAAACCAGCTGGAAAGACAAATGAATTGCTAGGTTAGCAAGCAAAGAACACGTAGCTATACAAAATCGTGTAAAAGAAAACAAATCAGTACAATCGACAATCTTGCAAGGTTAAGATCAGTTTCTCCCTATAAAACATAAATAACCAGCGGACAAAGGGGGAGGAGAAATATTTACATTCTTTTAATGCAGGACGCAAGCCGGGTTCCCAATTTTGCAAAGCCCTGCTCACTCCTAATTGAATTGCTCCAACTTGACCTGGACAAAATACCTTTTTAATGTTCCATATTTAACAGACAAATACATTTACGCAAAGAATAAACATAATGAACCTATTAAACATTGTTCATTAAAAAAGGGTTTCAACGTTAACAGTAACAATGTGCACAATGTAGCAGTATCCTTGTACCTAACTACTATATAGGAAAAAGAGCTAGCCTAAAAAATACCATAAAACAATCTTTAAAATCTACAATCAATTCGTATGTAATTCTGTCAGGATTTTGGCTCCAATTGTCTCCACTTTGCCTCTGCTCTCTTCCAGTTTAATTATCTAATGTGAAATGGAAATCTAACCACAATTAGCCTAGTAAGAAAAGGCCACTAGCATTCATTTGACTCCATGAGAGCGGGGAGGAAAAGCTTTATTAACATATGGAACTGGACAAAAATTTGTTTTCCATGAGAGTCTAGCAGTGTAGGTACACGTAGACGTAGTGGTTTTCTGGCATGTAGGTATTTAGAAAGATATTTCTCATTGATTGAAACTGATTTTACATGATGATATTTATACAAGTCAGCTAATACAGATTAGATATTAACTAATGTAACTTGTTTGTACCATACTTAGGACCTCCGTATTTAGATCTCGTATAAATACTCGGGGGACTCAAATGTCATTATGTAATAAATGAAGGGGCAAATATGTAATAAGTGAGGAGCCCTTATTCTATAAAAGGACCACTCACCCTCCTCATTGGGGGGAGGCCAAGATTGAGGCCATGGGAAGAGAGCACACAGAAAATGGGCTAGAGAGAAAATAAGCTAGAGAGCACACTGCCTCTAACCTTCTTGTATATTCATCATTCAGAGTGAAACAGTATCAACATCAGTGTGGACGTAGCCCAAACATTGGGGTGAACCACGATACATCTTGTGTTCTTTACTTTCTTGCAGATTCACGGTCGGAATTATATTGTTCCAAGACCTCCGGTTTTGTGCATCAACATTTGGCGCCGTCTGTGGGAAGCGACACGAAAAGCTATGTCGGTTCTCTTTCATTTTTTATCTCACCACCATGAAACTGCAGAAACCCAAGAACCTAGAAAACCTCACTCTTTGGGCTTTTCCAGAAAACCTTCGCAGACTCTGTGCAGTTTAAAAAACCATCCAAAAACCCATTTCTCTCTCTCTTTATTAATTTCTGGAAGATCTGCAACTCACAAATTTGTGTCTACACAAAAACTCTACGTTTTGCTGCTTCCTGAGAAAAGAAGCCATGAGTGACCCAACTTCACCACATCCCACCCATTTCGCGACCGTCGAACGTCCTTCACAGCCACTGTTATTGAAATCCAAGGTCCAACCTGTACTAGTAATTTCCTTTGCTTTTTAAACACTTTTGTTTTTGGTTTAAATGGACCAAACAGCGACGGCAGCAGCTGTATCAGGTGGCGACCTTCGTGAGAAAATTGAGGCATCTGGCTTGAGAGCAGGTGTAGGGGCTGAGCTTGGCTTTGTCATTGCCAAGGGGGACAAGGATAACCCGGATCACAAGAGTAAAGTTCATAAGTTGGAGCGGAGCGGATCGATCCATGACCTTGTCCGTGCTGTAACTAGTTTAGGTGTCCTTATGAAAAAACGAATGATCAGACTGAAGCACTACCGCCGGGTCAGAATCCCGTAGATCACGATGATCAGACGGTGGACGACGATCCGTCCTCGACGGTCCTCGATCTCACCAACTTTCAGCTCCACGACCTCGACTCGATCGAGTTACCGCCGAGTCTAATAGAGTTAGACCTGACGACGAACCACCTCACCAGTTTGGACCCTCAAATTGCGACCCTCTCCAACAAAAAAAAACCCTCAAACCCTCTGCTGCCTCTCTCATCCGCAACCGGAATCTTCACTTCCTTTTTCATAAGGCAAGCTTTAGGGATCAAATCCACGGGGCAGCAATCGTTGATCTACAGCTTCGTGGTGTGCGACATGGTGATCCTCGCAAAGTACAAGGAATTCACTGGAAACTTCACCATCATAGCTTCCCAGTACCTCTAGAAACTTCCGGCCACTAACAACAAGTTCACCTCCAACTGCGACGGCCACACCTTCAACTACCTCGTCGATATTGGCTTCACATATTGTGTAAGTGCAGTTAAGGCGGTTGGTCGACAAGTTCCTATTGCCTTCCTCGAAGCAAATCAATGAGGATTTTACCGGTAGATATGGTGGGGGGAAAGCTGCAATCTTTGTTTGCCATGGTTTTGTAATTTTTGTTTGCCCCTACCCTCTCTCAGGACTTTCAAGCACCTAGCAGTGGCGCATTTGGGCATTCAGTAGCAAAGATGGGTGTGGGTCTATCAATTCTGATAGGGTTGAAAGCAGCAATCTTGTTCTCGTTATTTGCTTTCCTCAGAAGCTCTGGTTTCACTGTGTTTTCGATACCATTTTTGTACACCTCTCTGGTATCCGCGTTGGTTTCACTTGCTACTCACCCATCCATAGACCTTCCCATGCTGCTGGGGAAGAACCCAGATGGGAGTTTCCCCATTTGGTCGATTATAATGTTCAGCCCCTATTTGTATTTTGTTCACTTTTTCTCGGCGCTACGGAGATTGCGGAGTAGGGAGGCTTCGTATACTGAAATCTGTGAGGGTTTTTTCGTTGGCGGGTGGCCTTCTTGGCCAGATAAACTGCCACCAAGAAATCCTGAGTTTTCAGGGCATTCTTATTTGTGTGTGGCAACATGGGACACAAGGGCTCCTTCACTGGCTGCCATTGAATCCGCTGTCAAGTGGGCTTGCCGGAAAAGGGATCAGAATAGGCATGTCTTCGTCCACTGCGCCTACGCAGAAAAAGAAAAAGGAGAAAGAATCAATCATGACGCTGTGGAAAGAAAAAAAGCAAAAGCAAGTCTGCATATGGGCTCTGCCAACCCTGACGCTCTGAAAGTAAAAAGAAAAGAGGAAGTAATGGTGTCAGGTGCACCAAAAGCAATTACAAAAAAAATAAATAAAAAGGAATGGAATTATAGTGGCAGACACCACTCTGAAAAAGAAAGAGCAAGAAAGAAAATAAAAAAAAAAAAGGAAAAGAGGAAGAGTGGAATCAAAAAAAGAAAAGAAGAAGTAATGATGGTGCCAGGTGCACCGAAAGAAATTCAAACTCCAACCTCCATCCCTCCACTTAAAGTTCACCTTCTATTATCACCAACCAGGTGATCAAAAGTACGCCCAGTACTCTAAAATTATTCGACAGCCTGCCGCTATCATCACCAACCAGGTGATCAAAAGTACATCCAGTACTCTAAAATTATTCGGCAGCCTACCGCTATTATAACCAACCAGGTGATCAAAAGTACGTCCAGTACTCTAAAATTATTCGACAGCCTACCGCTATTATCACTAACCAGGTGATCAAAAGTACATCTAGTACTCCAAAATTATACATGAGCATCACTCATGTCAATCATACATAAACATTCATGAGCATCATTCATACATAAACATTCATGACCATCATTCATGTCAACATTCATGAGCATCACTCATGTTAATATTCATGAGCATCACTCATGTCAACATCCATGAGCATCACTTATGTCAATCAACATAAACATTCATGAGCATTACTCATGTCAGTCAGCTTCGAAAGCTTCATTTACAGAGCTCCAACTTCAAAAGCTTCATTTACAAAAGCTCCAGTTTCAAAGCTTCACTTGCAAAGCTTCACCTACAAAGCTTCAGTGCAGGGTATACAAATACCGCCTCTGAACAACTGCCAGTTCGGCCCATACATGGATTCAATTTGAAGTCTCCAGCAAACATACTCTATTGACTGAAGACTTGGGGGACTACACTATGTACCATATATTGGGCTTCCGTAACTGGGCCTCATGAAAAATACTTGGGGGACTTAACCCATTATTTATAGTGTACTATATATAGAGCACCCATTATTCATGTATTGAGGAGCGAACCCTTATTTTATAAAAGGGACTCCCTCACCTTCATTAGAGAGAGACTCTTAGCCCATCACTTATGTATTGAGGAGCGAGCCATTATTCTATAAAAGGGACTCCCTCACCATCATTAGAGAGCATCGTTGTCTGCTGAGCAACCGCCTCGCCACGAACATCACTCTAACCCATCACTTATGTATTGAGGAGCGAGCCCTTATTCTATAAAAAGTGACTCTCTCACCATCATTAGAGAGCATCACCCCCTACTGAGCAACCGCCTCGCTGCGAGCATCAACTCTATCCCATCATTTATGTATTGAGGAGCGAGCCTTTATTCTATAAAAGGGACTCCCTCACCTTCAACGCCACAAGCCGAACCAACCAAGGCAACAGAAACCATAAGCCAAGCAGCCTCGCAACATGTGCTACTTCTAGTTGAACATCATTACACATTGGGCACCGCCTCATATCGAGTATCAGTTTTAGACGACATCTAGTTACTTCGACCTACACATGGACTGAATTTCAAGTCTCCAGCCAAAAAACTCTCTTAACTGAAGACTTGGGGGACTACTGTTTGTACCATATTTAGGGCATCCGTATTTAGATCTCGTATAAATACTCGGGGGACTCCAATGTAATTATGTAATAAATGAAGGGGCAAATATGTAATAAGTGAGGAGCCCTTATTCTATAAAAGGACTTCTCACCCTCCTCATTGGGGGAGGCCAAGATTGAGGCCATGGGAAGAGAGCACACAGAAAATGGGCTATAGAAAAAATAGGCTAAAGACCACATTGTCTCTAGCCTTCTTGTATATTCATCATTCAGAGTGAAACAATATCAACATCAGTGTGGACGTAGCCCAAACATTGGGGTGAACCACGATACATCTTGTGTTCTTTACTTTCTTGCAGATTCACGGTCGGATTTACGTTGTTCTAAGACCTCCGGTTTTGTGCATCAACATAATTAATTAACCTTAAACTATGATTAGTTACAACAAACAAAACTTCTACACTAAGTAATTGTTGACTATACTGATGAATTGGATCCTAGCTGGCACTGTTGAGTT